AAAAATGCTCCTACTTTCACGGAATTTTCTTAAACATTTATAACAGTTTACCTTTAAAACCTTGCAATCTTTGTCGTACCAACACTGTTTATTAAAATTATTCATACATGTTAGTTTTCTTTTGTATTTTTTCTGAAAGGGTCACTACATGATAGAATTGCATTTTCAAAACTATTAATACTTTCCTCAATATTGGAAAGGTTATCATCAATTTGCCTATCTATTTCATCAAAAATTCCTTCTGTAGCCTTTTCTAAAAAAAGTGATTCAAACACATTACAATTGTCCTTGTTAATACAAAATGTAAAATTTTCAGATTTAAAATTATTGTTTATATTACGGCTTAATAACACTTTGTTAACAGATGTATCTATATCTAGTGCTAAACAAACTGGTAAATGATCACTTTCGGACCTATTTTCAACAGTTAGATTAAAAATTCTTTCAAAAATGTTTCTGCTATTAAAAAAATAATCTATAACACTGCAACCAAGTGGACTAACACAAGTAAAATCTCCACTATTAACGCCAAATCTACCATTTATAATATATACCGAGTAGCATTTACAAAAATCAGTCAAATCTCTACCAAATTTATTAACAATGTCATCACTATTGTGACGTGTAATAACCACATCATCATTTAAAATTTCAACATACTCCTGTAGCTCTTGAATAGACTCGCTCACTGACGTAAAATCTTATAAGTTACCTGTTCTACAATTCAAATCACCACAAATAAGTAGTACATGATTTCTAAACACATTTGCATTTTCAACAATAAGGTTTTCAAAACATTGTATGCCACGCATGTTATCTATTTCATAAAATGGGGAGTTTATTAGGTGGCAAATATAGACATGCAAGGATAATATCTTCTTCGGTATTAAAACATTTTCTATCAATATAAAGAATGAATCCATATTCAAAAGTTTTACAAATACGACTAAATAGAGGTACAAAATTATTGTTTATATATACTTATATATACTTATATATACTTAAACACCGCCCACATTTCTTCCACCTTTTTTAGAACATTTCGCTGTACAAAAATGGCAAGTGTAATTTCTTAACAAATGTTTGCTTAAATCTTTGTCTATCATCCAAGTTTCTGTCAAACAAACAACATCATTTATTTTGTCTTGAAGACCACCTATATTCCATGTTAAAATCTTTCATGTTCATTTCCATGTTAAAATTGTTCCGATCATGTGCAGGACTTCGGCCTACCTCCTTTTCGTAACCTGTATTTGATGAAGCAGCAGATGTGACCATACTGGCTGGAGAAGATGGTTGATTTGTCTCAATCCTCCTTGATGCCTTTTTGAATATTCTGGTGTTTTGGGAACCATCTAATTTCTCTTCTTGAATATATTATGTTCCACTTCTGAAATAGCCCCTCTTACCTTGTCTTGCTAGTTCTTTTAGTTCCGTTTTTTCCCAATTAGTAAGATCACTTGCAATTTTGATACCCCTTTCTCGAAGAACATCGCGAACCTCAAATAGCTTTAATTTCATAATAAAACATAAAGTCTTAAATATGCATGTAATACAAAAAGAGAGAAAAACTGTGCGCAACGTACTTACAGACGAGAAGACATATTATTTCAAATGTCAAAACAGAAGTGTAAATACCTTAAGATGTTCTACGACTCATATTTCAACAGAAGTGATTACATTTTGCATCCTAATTCTTGCATGGTATTGATGGGGTTCACAATCACATGTCTTTTGTTGTACTGTCTATTCGGCTTATTGTCATTTAATGGCTTTCATTTCCTACACTCGTCACTTCGATGTGGCGAATGCTAAATTAGGCGGCATTTGAGAAAAGCAAAGTTATAGTGGGCTGAACGGATGGTACAGCAGGGGGGGGGGGGACCTTCCGCCAGGCTTTTGTGGCATTTAGTGTACACCACACCGTCATCACGAGAGCCTTGCAGAGATACCAGCTACATGGTACACCAGTCAGAAGCCATGCTGGAGGTCGGCAAAGGGTCACAACAACAACTCTTAGTCGGTTTTTTGGTCGTTCATGCACGTCATACAAGGTTTTGGACAGCAAATTCTCTTCGAAATAACCTTGCTCATGCTGCAAGATCCGTGTTACCACGCAGACGGTATGTAGGACGCTGCATGAAGGTATTTTGCGGTCGAGAAGACCATGCATATGTAACACCTTGACGCGTTTGGAATGGACCATGGAACATACACGATGGGCCATGTAACATTAGAGACACGGTCTGTTAACTGATATGTCGACTGTTCACTGATTAGTCCACGTTCTGCATAGACTTCACAGATAGGCAGAAAAAGACGAAGTGAACGGTTTCAGGCTTCAATTATTGCTGAGCATAACTACTACAGAGGTGGGTCAGTTATGGTGTGAGGAGGCATCAACTAGGATGGACGAAACGACCTAGTTGTGCTAAAATAAGCACATTGACAGGTCAGCGATAAAAAGACGACATCCAGGTTAGGTTATATACTTGAGCAGTCTGTGATCAGTTTATTGCAATGGACGTTAATTAATGCTCGCCCCCTAATACTGAGTATGAGAAGGCGCTGCCAAGCTGTCATTGATATTTACGGGTTATACACACGGTATTTAGTCTAGAAACTGTAAACAAAAATTTAACAAATTTAGCAAACACGCTGCATGTTCTGAAATCGTCAAAGAAGTGGGACAGCCTCATGTCATCAAACAAAATCAGTGTAAAACTCATTTACAGGGTTAAATTCGTCCTTCAGCTGAATTGATAAAAGAGTTAATCAACATTTAAAATTTTCGCACGGCGCTAATAGAATTATTCCAAAAAATATTTACACTCAAACATATGATGCTTTGCAAAAGTTGAGTAGTATATTTAAGAAATAATGTATCCCGAACAGTGATTTTATTGCTCAATATATGAATTTTTGGAGTTTGGATGCGAAGAATTATATCTCGAGTGATATAAAGATGCGCATCCAAACTCCTAACAGTGATTTTATCAAGCGATCACTGATTTAGATATATTATTTCGATTCTGACTCAACAAATAAATGCTGCCGTACCTGACATTTACCTAAATTGCACCTGATTTGTTTCCGCACTTATTTTCAGCGCGTCACATTTTAGTAGTTATGTCAAGTGTATAATGATTACGTCACATGTCTAAATATAGAATGTCAAACTGTGATTTGATTCCATAATAACGCACACTTGCAACCGTTCTTCTTTGTCCAATGGGGAAATGCGGGTCGTGTTCGAATACTTAATTAGCTGTTGTGTAAGATAAATAAATAATTAAATGATGAATATACTTTATTTACCAAAGGTAAAAGAATGAAGTCTTAGAACATTCAATCTTAAGCAAGATGATAAAACAAACATATATGTACAACATGTAGTATTGGTGATTTAGGGTTTTGAGCTGATTTTTAATAATAATAATAATAATAATAATAATAATGATAACAATAATAATAATGATAACAATAATAATAAGAATGCTGCTCTAAATAGATAAATGGGATGTGTGTGGTCTTATAGTTATGGTCGTTGACTTCAATCAATTGCCCCTCACAAATGTGGGTTCGAATGTCGACATGGAATCAGGATTTGTTCATGTGAGGAAGATATCCAGTTATGTTATGAACGTCAGTGGGTCTACTCAGCTTCAAATAATTCGAGGAAAGTTACCTATTAAGGCCTTTCTCATCCGGTAAAGCTGGGAAAAGCCATATTGTAGCGGTGCGGAAATAAAGTGGTATATTTGGATAATTTGGTCGTGTTCTTCCGTATCACAAAAATATATAAGAAGGTGATTTCTTGTAGCGATTCATTCTCTGTCTGGTTAGCTATAGAATAGGTCAGGCAGAAGTGAGAAATGGTGTTGTGCGAACCATCATTCTAAATAGACAAAGGTATTTAGTTTGAGTGTGGTTTATTTCTATTCTTGAGTATTTGGTCTCGTGTTATATGCTATTACTTCGCTTGTATTCAGATTATTTACAACGATATTCGGATTTTCAAAATATCTATTTTTGTTCTGTCTAATTTGCATGAACACTTTATTTTCATAGTACAGGAGTGAGAGAGAAACATGCCTATGATACTTCAATGTCGTTCAGAGCTTATCCTCTGTAAGTGTTAACAAATTATTATAATTATTATCAATAATTAAACTAAATCTTTATTAAATATCTATTTAAAATTGTTTAGTTAATAAGATGCTGTTTCCGCTGTCTGTTAAAATTGTTAAAAACCATTGTATGAAATATTAGAGATGAGAATTGAGAAAGGCAAGATACTAGACAGATATATGTTCAATTCCATGTAATAGTTAGACATTATAAAGAATGAAACCAGAAGATGTGTATTAATTTCTTACATCCACTACCCAGGACGTCTACATGTAACAATATGACCTTTACTGAATTGGTGTGACGTAAATCACATTAAATAAATAAATAGTTTTCAATGTTTATCAAAATTGTGTCATTGTGAATAAGGAGCAGCAACTGAAATAACATCCCACACCTGTTCTACGTAGTAGTGTGCAGTTGGATTACAGAACAGAAATTTGGAAATATTAGAACTAAAATGGTTATCTCCTGGAGGCAAACTGCTTTTTATAAGCAAAATTTACAGAAGTAACTCATTGGTTGGAAATGATAAACAAAAAAGTAACAAAGCACATGTAGGGTTATACCATTTTTAAATATACATATCTACTGCAAAAATAATGTTTGAATTTTAAGAAATGATAATAATCTTCCAAAATGCTTAAAAAAACTATATGATATAAACTGATAAATATGGCGTACACAAAACATGTTTAACCGACACAATCTTACTTGTAACAGCAGAAAAAATATTTTATTCCGAATTAATTTATTCTGTTTACGTACAATATGTTAAATAATAGAAACATGTTATGCAACAACCCTAAAGAAAATCGACAATAAGGTTATGAAACCAGTATAGATGTACAACTATTGATAAATTAAAAAAAAAAAAAACATTTCATAAGATATAGCTTGTAACATTTTAATGTAAGGCAGGTTGAAAGCTAGGAAAAAAATATAACACAAATAATGTAGCGACTTAAATACAAAGGTACCATATTTTAGAAATGATAAGATTTGATTAAAGCAATGGATTTTTTCTAGAAGCATGTTTCACTAAGTTACTAACATTACTGCCAAAAAGCAATGAATCATTTCTTAAAGCATGTTTCTCTAGGTCACTAACGTTACTCCAAATATGATATAATCAATCAGTCATGAAGATATTCCAAATTCATGAATATTTAAGCCATATACATATAGTTCTGTTGGAGGTAAAGTGAAGTTTTACTTTTTCCATTTGAATTCAATAGGACTGAGTTTTGGATCTCCACGTTCTCCTTTTTGACCAGGAAGACCCAGATGACCGATGTATCCTCCAGAATCTCCTTCCATTCCAGGGAAACCCTAGTTGATAAACAATAGAACATGGTGAGAATAACAAATACATTATTTTTAAACGATGTCAAATTAGTTGCAACAGTTAATCCATTTCTAAATGAGATCAAAGAACTCATGACTGATGGAACACTATCGCTAACTTCATACATAATATTATATATTATGTGGTTTCGATTGTTGTTATTATTGTTGTTGTTATTATTGCATTTTATCTATTGCATTTTTTCTGCCTTAAAAAAAGTTTATTTAATTCAATTTGCAATCATATGTATTCATTTGATATCAATATGGGAAAATTTTAGGAATAATTCTTTGCACTATTAAGCATTTTCGGTAAATCAACTGAGTTTGCCTGACTGTTTGGGAGAACCTCAAATTACCTAACAGGGCTGGTCATAATAAGAATTAAGAAATTTGATCTTTCTTCTCATATGTTTTACATTTGAATGTAAACTGTCAAGCAAATTTCTTAAAATATATGAAAAATAAGCAATAATGTTCCACCTGTCCTTTTTCTTTGAAAATATGCTAAAAATACAGATTTAAATTGTTTGCCAAATTTAATGGTAATGATTCATTCTAAAGAAATTTTTATATATAGTATGTATAGCACACAATACATTTAAAAGATGTGTCATTCATCGCACATTTTCCTAAGATGTTTAATGTTATTTTTATAGAAGTATATTTGCCTCATACAACTTACAAATTTATTATTTAATTTTACCCATACAATATGGTGCTATATCAGTCAAATATAGTTCATATTTTTAAAACATAAATATGAAATATAAATATGAAAATGGGCGGAATCAAAAATCATATTTATTTAAAGGGACTTCTTTAGCCATTTTGTTGAAAAAAAATCTGATAAATAAACAACAACTTTTTATTGAACTTTGTTTTGCAAACTATCTAGAATGATAGAAAATGGTCTAAGAAAATTATTCCGAAAACCAATATCTTTAATTCAGTCATTAATGCTGTATAAACGTTTAAAGATTTGTTTACGTGACGTCACAATGTAACGCCAAACATCGCGTGCAAAACAAGACGCATTTATAATAATCAATATACTACTGCGCGCTGTACAATTGCATTTACGTAACAAGCAAGGGGATTCGTAACCATTTTTCTTGGATAATGAAATTAAATAAAAAGGTTATCTTTTCGGGGTTTTTTTATGAAATATGGTATATATTTTCACTCAACATGATTAAATGCCACATATTTTCACGAGCCGGGACGTTTTATCATGTTTCGTGAAAATATATTTCCTTCAAACGATACAATACCCTCTTAATATTTAAACTTATCATTTACACAATTGTAATTGTGCAAATGTGGGTAAAAGCTAACTTTTTTTTTAAATGATACTGACTCCTAGTATCTGGTAGTTATAATATAGATTCGAAATAAAGATATAATTTAATGCTTCTTGTTTATTCGTGTTTTTTCCATACGTATTATAACCTTAACAGAGAAATTGTACTTAGTTTTATTTGATTTGTTGATATTCTGAAACTATTTGATATTTTTTTATTATTTAAATGACATGCTGGTGGTCCAGAAAATCCGATAATTCCGGGATATCCAACTGGTCCTGGTATTCCAGGGAATCCTTCAGACCCCGGCTCCCCTTTTACCCATGTTACATCGTTCAGTTCTTGAGATGCTGGAACAGGATAGACCAGACATTTAAAAAAACATAAGCTAGTTTATATTTCTGCCACATAGTTCATTATACACATTGGCATTTACATGTACATGTTTACACATCAAAGGGCAATAACACAAACAGTAGAAAGTTGGTTTCCAGTGCTATTCACCGAGGACATGTCAAGCTGATGTATGTTACTTTTGTGTTATAGTCTGGACAGAAAGTAATAAAATTGGCAAATTAAACACGAAAAATTAGAAAATGGGCAATATCTCTAGAATAACGTTGTAGAGCTTTGTTATTCTTGTCATATGTATTTCTTCTTACTTTGATCTTTCAACCAAAAGGTCTCGATTTACAGGTAATATCTTTATGAGTTATGGTCTTTACAAATATTATGTAAAATCAGACACAAAGGACAGCGGCTATAAATGAATGAAATGTAGAGTTATTATACTTGCGCAATACACTCCTCCTAAGAGCAATATATTCATCTATAAAGTACGAAGTTAATATTCCAAACATTTTTCCAATGATATTTTTAGACAAATAATCATGAAAAATATAATAATATAACGCATTAACCTCACAATAAATAAAAAGAAAGTTATAATTTTTGTACTATCATTGTACTCATACTTCATAAGATACATCCACCATGAAGTCTCAATTAGTTTTTTTAGTTATTCTTCGAATAAAACTAAACAAAACTAAGCATGAAAAATAAAAAGGGATATAACTCAAGGACTATAATGGCTAGAGTTATCATGCTTGTACAGTGCATTCCTCTTTAATATAATCTACCAACTAAGAGGTTGAGTTATCACTCTTGCACATTGAACTCCCACGAATGATATCTATCCACTTGTCATGTTTTAAGCTTATATTTCAAATACTTTTCGAGATAAGCTGTGGTAAAATAGTTAAAAAGGGAAATAAGTTATAGTTAAAAAAAACATTAAAGGGAAGAGTTATCGCTCTTATGATTTCAATGTCTCAAGTTAATATCTTGAGTAGATTTTTAGTTCAACAAAAGGAAAATGTGGAACCAAAGAACAATCGGACGGACGTACGGTCTGACGGACAGACGAAAGTACGGGCGGAGACTATTTCCATAGATTGAAATGTTACCATTTCACAGTTATTAATGTTTCTATTATACTCGAAATATTCAAAGTTATAGAATAGTTCAGAATATTACGGGAAGGGCTTAATGAATGATGTCTTAATGCACATTTGCTTTTTGTTATATACATTTGTATAATAAATTTTATGTATGTTCTGCAATAAAATATGTTGAAACTAAGAAATATGACAAGAAAATGCATCAACAAATATGATAATTTATTATATCTGAAATGGAGATTAATAACTCAGTCCAGAGAACGATTTTCTAATATGACCATATTTAAAAATAAATCATACCAAGTGTAGCGTCAACTTTTGCTAATACGGACTGTTCTAAATTATAAAGACGCTGCAAGAGTTGAAAGATATCTTGCGAATAAACATCCAGCTGTGTTCCATTATTTTCATTTACGGTCGCATTTTCACCTCTTGTTTCCTTCGGATAATCCGTCAGATTTGTGTTTCCTTCTGTGTTGGGGTCGAGTAATCTTATGAGGCATTGCTGGCAGCCCTTGTCACTAAATACGTTCAGTTTTGTTTTAACTGTGTTTTGAAACGTCCTGGTGAAAAAATAATGATTTATACTAGCAAAGCATATGCATACAAATAAGTAAACATGCAATGTCTTAACAAGAACCTTTAGGAAGAGAATAACAAACGGTACAGTGTATCAAAAATAGGTTCACATAAGCCATTACTACAAAGCCAAATATAAGGGGATTTCATTTAGACCATATGTTTTACATCTTGCGATACTTCAATTGTATGTAATTATATAATTAGGCCGAATAATATGACTATTATAATCTTAGACAAAGTTACAAATTGTATTGTTTTCAGATGAAATTCTAAAAGTTTTGTTATAACATTGTGTGATTATCTTGTATCTTCTAAAGTATTATTAATAAACTTTGCTCAACTTGAGTAAAATATTTTAATCACAGAAATGTGTTGAAATTTATTCAATAGCTCAACAGTCAATAATTGTTTAATTGTATGAAAAGGCTATAAGAATTAAAAAACAAACATAAAGTACAACTTTATACGTGTACAACTTTTGCGCGGGAAAAGAAGACACACGTGTCAGGCGTGCTACAACTACGCATACGGTGAGCATACAAAAGTTATTAAAGTTTATACTCATCATTGGGCTGTAACCCTTCACTCTCAAGTAAAGTAATGATATTTCGATCAAGAAATATGCTCTAAGGAACAAATCACAACTTTTTTTTCAATATGCACACATTATTAACAGTCTACGATATATGGTCATTGAATATGAGTCTCAATCTATTTTAAAACTTGGAGAATTCAATTAAGCCAGTGAATATGATACAACACCCAGTGAATATGATTTCATAAAATGTTTGGATGACTACTATTTGGACCAATGAAATTGCAGGTATATTAAGATCATATAATAATTTCTTACATCAAATCTAAGAGAATCTGTAGTAGTTATCAATATGTTCATATATCAAACTTTGGCATAGTATATCTTTAAATGTGAAATAAAATTGCACTTACCTTATTTCAGAAAACAGATCATCTATGCGATCCGACGGCGATTTATCGTGTATATCACCATCAACACTACAATTCACAGCTCTAAGTGCATATACAAACACATTGAATCGTATAATTTTTGCCCTTAAATAAATTGCCATTTCTTCTATGTATTAGAAGTTATACAATCAATGCCGACATTAAATGACAGCTTCTAGAATTAATGCAACCAGAAGTGTCTTATTTCTTAGTTGTTTACATTTAAAACATAAGCACTTCATGTAATGTATGAACATGAACTTTCAATCAATCCAATTACCTTTATCAGCCTTTAACAAAGAAGTTCTGAACGAACTCCATCTGCCGATTTTATTATTATCTTTGTTTTTACAACGATTCTTTAAAATGAATACATTTTACATGATAAGGGTTTAAAGATCTACGCAGATAAACTTCATAGAGGAATATGTAATGTTTTATGTGGAAATGATTAGTTTTATTCATTGTTGGAATATCAATGCATAAAGTTCTAAATTTCAAGCAAAATAGTGTTTCATTCTTAATAATTAATGTACATATTTAGATTAGTTATTTGAAATGTACTTCCATATTGTATATATTTTTTTATCCTTTAAGTACAATTTCCACATCGTCCAATAAGCTAAAAAAAATGGATTGTTGAACGGGCGATCCGGGTTTGATTCCCGGACAGTGCAGACCACATTTGTTGTAATTGATCATGAAATCCGTTCTACAGTAATTTGCACTGTACCTCGGCTCTGGCATGTGCAGACGTTATCAGTTCCTTGCTAAAGTAAGGGCAACTAGTCCTGGTTATCTGCTTGACAGCTTGCCTAGGAACGATGCCACGGCTGAACTGTGCTCGGGTAAATTCAGTGTGGCTTACTACCGTGATCCGCAGTAAAAATACCAACACCACTTTAATATCCAGGAAAATGTAACTTATATAGAGTCAATGTATACCCGATGTCAATCTTGTGACAAAACATACGGGGTGTACGCTGATACATGCCTCATCATATATAAAAAGCATTACATACTGATGTCGACATAAAGAAAACTAAAAAACACTGATTTTGTAAAAAGGGCATTATATTCACTCTGAATGTCATTTATGGTTAAGTAATTTATGTGTAGATTTAACCCGTTCGCTCTAAGGAATTGCCAATTTCACATGTTTCCATATCAATGAGGTTTGTAAACCATATTCAATGATGTTTGTTCCTTAAAATTCTTGTTGAATTGAATTACATTAAGTTTCAATATTTTGGTTGTTTTGGCAACCGGATTGCATATCGTATCACCCGTAGATTTAATATTTGCCATAAATGAATGCTCGTGTTCTCGATTCTTCGATATTGTTCGGACGACTAAATACAAAATAATAATTCTTTCATCAGCAGATTTTGGCTTGACATTAAGGGTTGATCATCTCTTCAAAAACACCATGGAGGTAAAAAGGCTTGATATTGCATTCAACATAAAATAGTTATTTTGGTAATGTTCCAATTGCACGCCTGGTTCAAATTTGGAATGCCCCTTGATCATTTACCACTCTACTTATCTACTTATTATACATATGTTGTAAATAAATATAGCTAAGAATTCTTATTCATCTTAATAATTTATGCTACAATTATTGTATATGAATAGTATGTACATTTCATTCCGAAATAGAAGGAATGCGATGATTAACCTAGCTTCAGAGACAAACTGTGACCTTAAACTTGACCACCTTTATGCTGTGCACTTAAATACAGTTTTGAATATGAAACAAAAAATTGATCTATATGACTTTACCAATAACTTTATCAATGACTATTCAACCGACGTATTAAAGTATGTTCCTTGAATTCAAACAACTGGTTCACTTCCTGACTTTGCATCCTAAGTTATTTAACCTTTAATAAACCTAAACGTCATGTTTCAGCATTCTTATATTATACCAGTTAATTATCTTTTTATCCGTTTATCCAACAATATTTCTCAGGTAAACAAATTGCCAGAATGAGGCAAATTACATTTTAAATATTACTAAAGGCACATTGCAAAGTATAGTTAAATCTCAAGAAACATTTAAATACACCAGCGTCGGAAATATTATCCCACACCCACCCCCATCCACCCCCCACCCCCAAAGAAAAAAGATAAAAACGAATTGCATATACACATTCACTCCAAATGAAAATGAAAGACTACCATTTTGTCCTACTCTATGTAATGACTAACACGCATTCCGAATATCAAAATTTACATAATTCCTATTTGTGAATAAAAAAAACATCGAGCAATAATACAAGAGCATTACATATGGCATTTCAGTAACAATGTTAAATCGAGAAATTTAAATTTGTATACAATTTCCTAATGGACTTATTCGCTTAGTAAATTTCCATTGATTCAGATAGAGTTCAGGAAATAATGGTGCTAAAGGAATACTTGTTTAAGGGATATTGCACTTAGTTTATGTCGAAGTTGAGCTCATACATTATCTACAAGTTCATCCATTATCTATAAGTGTCTTGTTTCGTTAAACAAATGTATTTTCATAATTTATCTAAATTGTGATGTCACTTGAAGCATATTTTAACATTTTAACCACTCTCAATCTTGTCCTTCTTTTCTATTTCCTTTCCTTTTTTGCGTCGGGCGTGGTCGGGGGCGTTTAAGTTGCACAGTATAGATAATATGGCGACCTTCCAGCTTACTGGTGGAGGAAGACCTCAGGTGCCCTCTTTGCGTAATTTCAGGCACAATGGGGCACCTGAGAAAAATCCACCGACGATCTAACGAAGTACTGATTGGTGTTATAATAGAATGTTAAAACAAATTGTCGTGACCACTGTAGAACTCAAACCCATGATCTCTGTGTTTAGAATTAGGCACCTTAACCACCAGGCTACTGGGTTTTGTTGAAATAGACTTGGTTTTAATAATCTACTTGAATGTCTAGAAAATATACACATGCACCAACAAAATAAGGGACAAGACATTGCAGCTATCATGCATTTTTTAAACAAGGTTGTTTTTGGTTTGCTTTTCTCAGTTGCCTTTTTAACAGATGCCACAATTAAAATATAAATGACATTTTGTTTTGTTTTGAAACAACTTGATACGTTTACCATATACTAGTAGTTCCCAAAATGAGAAGAATTCTATAAGTTAAGTCTTCGATACTCACCCTTTTCCATTAAAATGTTTTGTTTGTTGTAAACTATTGGAAGTAAGTATGAGCCGCGTCATGACAAAACCAACGTAATGGGTTTGCGACCAGCATGGATCCAGACCAGCCTGCACATCCGCGCAGTCTGATCAGGATCTATGCCGTTCGCTTACAAACCCTATTACAAGTAGAGAAACTGATAGCGAACAGCATGGATCCTGGTCATACTGTGCGGATGCAATTATGTTGGTTTTGTCATGACGTGGCTCATAATTTTAAACAAACTTGATACATTAGGACAATATATCATAAAGCAAGAATAAAGATCAACAATTCAAAGGCAACACAAGTGAAGATTAACTCCCTTACATAAATGTTTCTAAAAACTTCTAGTCCGTCTACTTTGCTTAAAACTAAGTTTTCCGTGTCAATAATTGTGTTTACTGTTTGCTCTTTAAGTAGTTCTCAAAACCGGCACAAATTCCTGTACAAGCGCCAAATATCGTGGATGATCACCTTGTGCATATACATCTATATCATTTGTAAGACACACTAGTCCAATACCATTCTCCAAATCTGCTTGAGCCACCTTACCTCCATGGCCCGGGTGTCTAAAAGCAATACATCCCTGAAATATAATAACATATCTAACAAGTATCTGTAAGATGTATTGACAGGCATTTATCTTTCAGTTTACAGGCCTATTTGTTTCTTGACATTACTGATTCGTATCAAGACATTTTACATTGCTTTGTCATCAAAAAACGAATTTGATATATGATTTTTATCGTTCATTTTTAAACAAAGTTAAGTTGCAAAGGTGGTTTATTTGACTGACTAAAATTATTTGCATTTAACCAAAAAAGGAAAAATAACGTACGTTAGGATTATTTGGCAACTTTATGCATGCACTGTATGATGCACATAGCCAAGTTACATGGTCAATCCCTGACACTATGGGCGTAGCTTATTTATTAATTGATTTATTGGACATGAACTTGTTCCCCTTCTCTGTCATCACTCCATTAGCCAAAATGCCATAAAGTTAAGCATATGCACATGCGGTGCCAGATGAAAATGCTGACGATATGGGAATTTCACGCAGATGTGGATTATTGTGCGAAAATATTTTTTTTAATGCGTTTATTTAAGGTCGCCGCCGGAAAGCCCATATGGGCGACCGTACACTCAAGTCGGGCCATCCTAGAGCGTCCCGCCGAGATTTTTTCGTCGATATTTTTTCCAGCTTTATTGGTGGAGGAAGACCCCAGGTGCCCCTTCGGGCATTATTTCAGGCAGGAGCGGGCACCTGGGTAGAACCACCGACCTTCCGTAAGCCAGCTGGGTGGCTTCCTCACATGAAAGATTTCGACCCGAGTGAGGATCGAACCTACAGCGGTGAGGGACCTGTGATCTCAAATCAGCGACCTTAACCACTCGGCCACGGAGGCCCCTGTGCGAAAAAAGACAAGTGTTACATTATTTGACTTAACGTCAAACTGTATAGGAATAAGAGTATTATATTGTTTGAATGGAACAGTACGTTTCCAATCTAATATGCACAAATAATGTTTGTCTTTAACATTGTATAGCTCAGAATATCAATGATTTTGCATGTAATTGTATAGTTATCAAACCAAAAGATTTGTAAATGAATTAAGAAATATACGTTTACAAGTGTGTAGTCAAGATAGATTTCTTTAATCATCGGCAACCACTGCCAATATTCCAAAATATAATACAGGGTAAATACACAAAAAATTGCAACAACAGTCACAGAAGAACGAATATATCAAATGGATTCTGCAGATGTCAATGCACACAGAAAGGTGCATTAGAGATATTCTTGTATAAAAGTATACTTTTATAATGTTATTTTGGCGTTTTGTTATCTGTGTTTCTTGATATAAAAACATTTTTTGGCCATGCTTTCCATATGCTAATGCATGTCATATGACATATTTGTTTTGTCGATTCCGCCCTGAGTCATGCATATTGAAAACACGCAACAACGTCGCATCTGTCCGTTAATGCATGTTTTTCTCCGTAAATGTATATTTGCGCCTTGAACTTCATGAGAGCAGATCAGTTCTTGAAACCAGCGTGTACATTATTTCAGGATATTACAGGAAAACAGAAATGACGTTGCTTTAAATAAATAA